ATTATGTACCCATTTCCTCCACAGGTCTTGTTCTCTTCCTAATCAAGTGCATTCTCAATCTGAATTTTTCCTTTGACAATTAGAAAGGGATCAGAAAGATCTCAAACTCAGAGGCTAAAACTAGATGATGGGTTGGGGTGGTTCCTTTGCTTCTGTAATACAGAGATGTCTATGGAGATCTAGGGACCCAGGAAGAAGGTGGAAAATATTCATTTAGCCTTCTTTATTCTGGAGAAGTTCCCTAAGTCTGGGAACAACAAGAGTTCTGCCATTAAAGGAAAGTCTTCTGAAAACTTTCATCAGCAACTGTGTGATTTGTTGTTTGCTACCTGGTAGCATCAGAGGTAGCAGATTCCTTCTTGTTATGCAATTTCCTATAACTTTATGTGATAGCTGCGTGTCCTGAACTTGGCTGTAAGGTAAAAAACTACAGCAAAGAATTGTGCTTTAAGGTCTTTTGCATGAATAGCATAATCTATGTTCTCATTGGTTGTTTACAAGGTCACATGATCCTTAGTGACAGTCCCTAGCTTTTCAACAGGCACAGATGTGCATTCTTCAAGAAGGGTCAGTGCATGATAAACATGCCACATCACATGTGAGAATTTCTCCAGCAAATGTTCTGTGGGTAGTATTCCTCACTCTAAGGACAAGGACAAATGAAAGGAACCTGAAACTCACTTTAGAGTAAATGGCTATTGTGTAAGTAACACATAGAAATAGAGAAGAATCCCTTTGAGGGTATTTATGATGAAGGTTCTTGCAGAGATACTATCTTTCCAGGTCACATTTCCAATCAATGTTAGAAGGTTGAATGTATTAGCATACAAGATGTTTAAGCTTATAAAGTCAAACATAATTTTAGGCTTCCAGGTTATGGATAAAATTAACGTTCACATTGCAACCATAGCCTTACTTACATATAAGTGCATGCATGTGTGTACATACATATGTACATACGCATATACACATATACATATTTAATCTCTCCTTTTAGTTGTACAGGCTTGACATTGACGAAGTCAGAACCCTTAACAGAAAAAGTGCAGGTGGTGAATGTGTTAAACAAAGGCTTTCATTTCTAGAGGCATTGTGTCATTTAATGTCAGAACCCATTTGGAGTTGGGCAGCACTACATTTGATATGTACCTGGTCATTTCATAAGAGAATCCTTCCTTTGTCACAGTGTGAATTTTCTTTAAAAAAAAATCTGTGATAGGAGAAAGTGGAGAGATGAAGGGAGGAGCTGTACTCTGACAGGCAGTCATGAGCACTGACCTTTGCTTATCACTCTGTGTGGAAGGGTACATTTGGGGGAGGTGGGAATTAAGGCACAAAAAAGACAAATAATTTATTCTAGAGACCACCTGATCAGGATAGGCAGGACTGACAATATAACTGTGTGATTCTTAGGGGTGTTGCTATACTGCAAACTAGTTATTTTTGGACAGTGAAGGGATTGGGACTTGGAGGGAAATGGACATTGTTCTTGGCTCCACATCATGCTAAATACTCATGAACATTCCATAACCTAGAGGTCAATAAAAAAAATCTGAAAAATTTTAATATTTGCATGCAAGCATTTATCTCAAACACCCACCATAGAGTTGGCCTCATGCCAATGTTCTATTCTTTGGTAATTTCCCCCAAATAAAATTAGACAGGATTAGATCAGGAGGAGAAGATGCACAGGTGAGATCAGCTTGGGAACTCTCTGAAAGGCACTGCACGTCTCTGACCAGAGGCCCTTATAATTAATTCTCCCTTTCAACATACAGCTGGCTCTCACATGTCACTTTTTGCAACTAAGGACATTTCAATAATAATTCTCCACTGTTAAATTTGACCAGGTACTTTGTTAGCAAGAGAAATTGCTGCAGAATGGTTAATCCTTGGGAAAAAAAAAAAAAACTTCTGTACACTCCTCATTCAAAAGAGCAAACAACCGAAATAGTTTTTTAAAATGCCCAATTGCTACACAGCAGTGAACAGGTGCAGCACACAAGGACCAATTTTTGACTAGAAGGGAAAAGAATTACACTCTTCAAGGCATTCTGTTTGGTGGCAGTCGTGATCATTACTGAAAGTAATACTTATTTAAAAGCAGTAAATGGCCATTTCCAAACAGAATGGCATGTCATCAAAAGGAGGCAGCATCCTGCTCACACATCCCCAGGCTCCCCTGAGTCTCATTATGCTCTGTCGTGTTAGCTCACTTCCTTCTTTATTTTTCCTTTTTATTTTTTAAACTTCTTTTTCTTCCCTGCTGAGTATTATCTTCTAAAATCAAATTAACAGCTAATAGTAAATGTGCACAGTCACTTCAGGAAAGCAAAACAAACAGACTCGAGAGATTATATAAAAATAGCATTTCTCACACTAAAGACTAAGAGCCCAGATGGAAGTGTGAGAGGATTGCAAGCAGGTTCTAGTGCCTGAAGCTGTTATCCAGGTAACTGTTTCGCAGAGTCATCAAATGGATGCTAAAACTATAATAATTTTGAGAGCACCATTCCCATCTTTGATCCATCTTAAAAAATAATTCTTCTCCTTCTATCTCTAAGATTGCCAGTGAAGATCCTTAATAATAACAACAATAATAAGATAGGAAAAAAATCATTGGATCTTGTTTATATTTGGTAAAATATTACAAAAGGTAGTATGATAAATTTTGGAGACAAAATCAATGTTGTGCCCGTTATTGAATAGATAATTAATAATAAAATGTCATGGATCATTTGTTTTGAATGAGTTTTCAAAAGAGTAGAGTCCTTCAATGATATTCAACATATAACTATCTAAATATTATAAAGAATAGATGCACTTTAAAAATACAACTATATTAAACAAACTTCTGCTATAACATAGCTGGTAATTAAGGAGGCCTTGTTTAATATATTCTAGAACTAAAGTTTCATTTTTTTAATTGTCTTTTTATTTTTCTTGGAATATAAGTTGTTACTGGTCCTTATTTAAGACAAAGTAAATAATAAGACTATGGATCAAATTCTCTTCAACAAAGTAGTTTACTTTCTTATTTATAGAATTCTCTGAGTGATTCAAACTAAATGATAAACGCCAAGGAACCCTTTGGAATATTTTCTTTGAACATAACAGGATAAGACAATAGCCAAGGTATCACTCTAGGCATCCATTTCAACCCAGCTCTCTTTATTCTGGGTCTACTGAGTGGTCAGGTTTGAGCAGAGGAGGTCTTATTTGACACCAACCATGGCGATACTTAAAATCAGTCAGGTTTCTCATCAAAGATATCTGGACATGGTGAATCTTGGAAAAAGAATAAGCAAGTATTTTCTTGCTGTTTCATCAAACTGGCAATGCCTGGGGTGTACATGGAGATGTGGGGTGCTGAGGCTAATGCAAAGAGGAGAAGGAAGAGGAAGTGAAGTGAAGGGAGGAGAAAAGAGGATCTCATGTCAATGCTCTGAAGAACAGAGAAAAGTTAATAGCAAGTTATTTTCTAATCAGAACAATGAAGATCCATAAACCTTTGGCATTTATGATCCTGGAGATGTAGACACTAGCTATATAGGCAAGAACATTCTGGCTCTAAGCCTTTAGAGGTCTTACCTAAGATCACATTAAGGTCTGGAAAATGACCAAAATGTAAACATGAACTCAATCATGTTGATGGTCACTGTTTCATCAACCACAAATGTATTGTGAATGATTTTATCAGTGTCAAATTAGAATAAACTATGCTTCTTAGGAACTGCAAACTGCTCCTCCCCATGAGCAGTATGTTCTCTGGGACAGGAGAAAAATTAAAACGTGCAATGAGAGTGCATAGAGAAGAGAACAGCCGTAGAAAAGTTTAGTGTCTCTTCCATGAAACACACTTGTAGGGTCAGTGGAAGCTTCTGGGCTGATCTAATGTCTAAACTGGTTCCTTGAAGGATAAGGAGGGATTACACAAAGGAAGAGAGAGGAGGAGGGATGCTGTGCCACACTAAGGAAATAGCTGGTAGGTAGGATCAGAGGCAAAGAGGACTGGCGTGTTGGAGGCAGTGGGAGGAGTTTAATGTGTCTGGGACACTGAGTGCTGGGTGGGATGTAGTGACAGATGAGGCAGAGAGATGAATAGGGCCCACCAAATACTGTAGGACTTTCAGCTGTGTTGGGGAGTTTGGAATTCATCTCAAAGCACTGGGGAATTTAAAACAAGGGAACACAATTAATTGGGCATGAGTTTTAGAAAAAAATTCATGACTGTTGAGGGGGAAGACTGGGAGGAGGCAGTCAGTACCAAAGGAATGACAACAGTCAGTAGGCTGTTGCAGGATCCCAGAAGACAGAGTGTCATCAGGTGGAGCATGGGGAGTGAGGATGGAGCAGGGATAATTGGATTTGAATATCCAGGCACTACAGTTATAGAATTTGATGATAAATAGTCATAAATGAGTAGGTCATTAGGGGATAGGAAAATTAAAAATTATTCTGAAATACCTGGGCAATCAACTCCCTGGCTAAAGAACCTTCTGGAAGGTAGCAGAGCACTCTACTCAGTTTAACAGTTGTGACAACAGAGTCTTAAGAAAGTACTGTATTTGCTTGTCATCAATGAAATCAGCCAGAATTCTACAGGAGATCTCTCTCAACTGTTGTAACATGGTTGTGTTCTACCTAGAGTCATAAAATCTCAGTGAGATTCTCCATGGAAAAATCACCTGCCTTACAGGCATTTTTAGTCTCAAGGTGCTCTTGGCCTCTCCATGTTCTCAGGTAGACTTGGGGGTAAGAGGGGAAGAAGGGATCCTAGCCAGTGTTAGTGGTGTGCTCATCTATTTTTTGAGGGGAGCTGGTCATTTCAAAGGAGAAAGAATTAGAGTTGCTGAGTAAGAGGTATCTAAACTTGGATGAAAGGTTTCCTATCTCTCCATGGAGGTTTTCCAGTCCTAAACTGGAAGGATAAAATGCCAAATATGCTTTGTGACTGTGAGGTGTCCAATGCAAACCCAGGGCACGATTCACATACTCACCCCTTCTCCGCCATTTTCAACGGTGTTCGCAAGCATTTCTTGCAGTGCTCTGACAGATAAGGACTGTTCCAGCACGAAATTGCAGACACAGAGATCTGGAGGAATGTACTGTGGAAATAAAACCAGAGTGAGGATGCCTGCTCATACCAGCCAGGGATCAGTCACACAGTGGCATCATAAAGGCACTGGCATCTACAAACTAAAATGACAGCTGCCTGGATGGTTCGAAATGTAACAAGGCAGCTTTCCCTTATTCAGCTTAGGATGGGGTTTAAGTTGGATTGTAAAGGATGAAAGGAAGCAAAGCTTCAAGGGAGCAGTGGCTAAAATGTCAGGATCAGCTTGAATGAAGCCTGGTGGTACGTAAGGGTGAAGAGCACACACAGCCCTGTTGAAGAAGGGACAGGAAGGAAAGAAAAGGCTCATGTAAACTCAAGACTAAGTGAAACCAAAGGAAGAAATCCACTGACATCTCATCCACGAGAATTCACAGGACAGAACTAGATAAAAGTGTGGCTTTAGACTACCACGGCCAACATAGGAAATCTGCTTATTTGTGAAGAAAACCTAGATTTGATCATGCATAAAGAGGCAGCAAGGGGATTAAAAGCTATATAAACATAGGTCTGAACAAGGAAAGGTCCACATAAGAACTTATGACCCCTATAATAACCATTCTAATGTATTAGAGTCACTTAGCATGGATCAGTTATCATTATGACATTAGCATTTGTTCTGGATATTTCTTACCAATGGTTAAAGCACCTACCCTGAATACTGCTGGTAATAGCTAACACTCATCAAGTGAGCATGTTTTCTATGCCAGGCACTCTTCTGAATGTTCTGCATACATTAACACACCTAGTCTGTTAAAGCACCCAGTAAGATAGGCACTCCTAATGCCCCAGTCAATAGCCCAGGAAACTAAGACATAGGATATTCAGGTCATCTGCGAAAGTACTGTATTTGGCTAAGTCAGATTCACACGGAGACTGTCTCTAGGGTTCATGTGTTTAACCCTATACTGTTCCCTGTACTAATGAAGACAGTAAAGATTTTTTCCCTACAATTAGAACATTTTAGATTAGCAAATATTTAAGTACTGCATTTCTGTAAATACAGTGTTTGATATTGAGGAAGTTATAAAAAACAAGGCCATTGCCCTTAGGACCTTACAATCCAGTTTCATCGTACTGTATTGTATTCCTTGGGAATACAACTTGTGACTGTCTTAAATGCCCATCCTTCCTTTGATAGTACATCAGCATGATGAGAACAGCACCAATGAGAAATGTGGGGCTGTGAGGTAGAAGATGGACATGAGATGTGGTGCTGGCGGAAGGAGTCTAAAGACAGTCTAGGTCTTTTTTTTTTTCCTGAGCAACCTGCTAGTACAAAACACTGGGTTCAGCCTTCAACATAAAGCCTGTTTAAAGAAAAATAATACAGATAACAAAATGTCTTAACTGACAGAGTCATGACCTCAATCACACAATCTTGAGCTCTCTCAAAAAGGAGTTAGCCATGAAATAACCAAGAGAACCACAGCTGTATCCAGGTAGCTGTGTCTGACAGTCAGAATATCCTTTGTGAGTCCATGTCCTCAAAGCTGATGTCAGGTTGTCTGTGCCTGAGCATTGCCCCACATGTGTCTTAATGCTGTGCATGTATCCTCAAAAGACCTTGCCTTTGATGCTTCTGATGGAACACTTCCCCCATCTTTGTGAGCTTTTCTAGAGAAACAGAAGGAAAAAAAATCCCTAAAAAGGAGATCTGGTTTACCATGGTTTGGGAGGGAAAAAGGGTCACTTTATCCCAAGCACGTCCCATATACCTCATAAATATTCATGAAACCTTTAAAACAGTACACAGCATAGAATCTACTGTGCTCTTATGCCTGCTTTGGGACAGCCCACTCCAAACTCTCTTTGGAGTGCTTGCTTTGCTAAGTAAACCACTTAAACTGTGCTCCTCAAATACAGTTTTCCTCTGAGAAGAACAGAAAAGCAGTTCCCCCACCCCTCACCGTCTGTTCTTCAGGATAGGAACCAGTAACTGATAGCTATTCCTAATGCTTCAAAACAGGCAAAGCTGTTTCCATGGAGTCTGATTTAAAGGTAAAGGTAGCCCTTTACTGAGAGTTAGGTAACTTCCCAGACGAGTGCTTTCCATTTAAAAAACAAAGATAATGGAACTGACTGTTTCAAATTACTTTTATTTTCACGTGTTTGTATATTTCTCATCTCTTTCCAACCTCAATGTTCTGAAAAATAAGAATTTGCTGTCCTAAATGTAAGATGATGTCCTATATGTTGGACCTACTGGGAATGTTTTCAATAAAGCTTTAAGACCCCATTGTTAAAGTATTAATCTAGAAATGGGCCACCCTATTCCAAAGGCTACTAGCTACGGTGAGTTCCATTTTGAAGTACTTTTCTACTAAGGCTTTGAGGGAATACTTTTCTGTTTCAGGTCTTTCTCCACAAGGTCTATCTAATCAGGCAATCTAAAAGCCGAGTTGTCACAGAATTCTGGTAGAACAGGAATTTCCCTGGTTCTCATCACAACAGTTTAACCAAGGAGAAAGTGTTAAGAACCTACAAAGAATATTATATTATTTTTATTTCACAGTTTTTTGCTTTGTTTTCAAAGTTCATTTCTAAAGCAGGTGATTAATTCATTTTCATGGAATTCAAGACAGCAGGCAGCTGACCTCACATCCAGTAGAACATGGGTAGTACTATTATAAGTAGTATGCAATTATATGACCCAGTATTTCCCTGGAGACTTTATGCTGTAAGCATATACCACCAAATACAGTATCTCAAAATATGCCATCTTAGGAAATTTTATAGAGCTGTGTCTACTTGGATTTCATGTCACCAGAATAGAAAACAGAAACATCCAGTCTTTCTTCCTACTTGACTTCTTTAGACCATGGGATTTGGAGATTTTCCATTCAGAAAGATCTGCAGTTAAAGTTTGTATTTGAATGGGGGCTAGTAACTTAAAGTCTCATTATATATGTCTTTAATCACCAACCTATGTCATCAATTCCCTTCACAGTCCCAACTATCTGAGACCTTTTCGTATGGGAGATTCCCTGATCTATCAACCATTTCTCTCAGTATGGTTTGCTTGGAGAGGAGATAGGAGCTCTTGTCTCTGCCATCATTCATTAAGCTGGAGGGTTGATGACAACATGGACAATTGGCATGCTATAATTGTATCTGTCCTTTCCCTCCAGGCACTAAAATAATCAAGGAAATACTTTCATGAGTGGTGTGAATAGGTACATTCAGGCAGGGGATGGTTTGCATCAGGAGGATGTATCAAAAAATGGGAGATCCTTACAGATCCCGATGGTTTTGTTTCTGTATCTCTAGCATGTGGTCCCTGCCTGCAACTCTTTGTATTTGGGAAAGTGATCCTGTCACTTTAATAGCACACAGAATAATGCGTGGGCAGTGTCGAGGGAGAGAAGGGAGTAACAGAAATATCTGGAGAAAAACAAAATGCAACTTGTGACATGAATGAGCACAGAGTCATCTGACCTGCAATACCCGCTGCCATCCTTAATTAAACTCCAAACTGGACTGAGTTCCCACCTCCGCACCCCTGAAGAATGAGCAAAGGCCACTCGCCCATCAAAGCTCATTTGTCTGCCTTCAGGAGAGTCTCTCAGGAGGCTAGCTCATTGTCTTGATGCTGGGGAGCCTGTGCCTCAGTCACTCTGTCTGCCAGACATCGGGCACATATTTGATGATTCTCGGCACGGAGAGAGACTCTGTTGACATCTGTTCTGAAATAGTTCCTCATCACTCTCCCAGGCCTGTCCTTAGCCTACATAAGCATTTCATTTCAAAGTGTCCTACAGAAAACCTTGAGACGCCAGGGCCCTGGAAAACCAGGAACAAGTCTTCATTTAGCCCCACTATGTGTAAAATTGCAAGGAGGTAGGTCTATTTATCCTCCATACTCTATAAATTTACACAACAGCATAATTTTTCTGAGACTTCTGCACCCTAGATGGTGGGAATCTGATGCCTCTATCAGTAGAGCATTTCACATTTCTTTAGTACCCCACAAGAGACATTCCGCATTGTAGTAGCACATACTAGTGAAGCCTTCAAGGAAGCAAGGCAAGGAGTCAATAACAAGGAGGAGAATCACCACCTCTCCCTCACAAAGTTAACCACAGTCTGTTTTCACTTGTCTAGGTTTTGACGTGCTGAAGTCTACCTATTTAAAAGGCAGTGGGCTCTCTGAAAAACCAGTCTGATTCTATTTAGTACCATAGTAGGTAAAGCAGGGCATGTTTGGTTCTCTATAATCTAATATCATCCAGATATGTATGGCTCATAGTAACTGTTGCTGTGGACAAATTGTATTGAGTCTCCCTGGCTGAGTCATTTCTCCAGACCTCCTGCTCAGGATTTAACAGATTTTTTTTCTCCCATTGTTATGATCTTTTATGACTTCCCTGTTCATTCATCTGTTTCACACGGCGCCATATCTCTGTGATGCACCCTTTATGTGAATAGATGGCCCTCAATGCTAGTTAGAATGCTCTGTGCAGAATGACACTGTTATAGGACGGCCCAAATTCAAATCTCTGTCCTAAAGGTTATGCACTAAGTGATGTGAAGCAAGTAATTTGGTTTCTCTTTTCCTTAGCTTCCTGTTTTGTAAAATAGTATCTCCTCAGATAAACATTTTAGGTTTGAAGAGCTTAAAAACTGAATGCAGGCAATGGACACTTGAGTTATGAAAGAGGACATAAAGCTAATTGTTTTTCTAGTTTTAACTCTTATATACTTTTCATTTTTTTGGTTGTGGATGAGTGCATAAAGTTACATTTGATGGTGCAAGTGAAACTTCCAATGTGAATCTCCACAGCTTCAGAATGGCTATTCTAATAGAAATTCACTGAGATGTACAGACTTTGGGTCTAGTTAATTTCAGTATATGAAGTTTTTGATTTGTAAGTTCTTTATAATAAAGTTTTAATATTTTTTAAAAGTTCAAAATTGGGGCCAGTGTTTAGTAAATACTTAATGTTAGACGATGTTCAATGAAGAAGGATGAGTTGAAGTATCAATAGCTAA